GACAAATGCCTAAATATCGGGACGGTCCCGATTTTATCGGGACGTCTGGTCACCCTAGCTGCAGACCATCATTCTGACATTTCCCCTCTGTCTAAGAAGGGAGGAAGAGTTCTCTCTTCAGAAACAGTTAACGAGCTTCCATTCCTGCCCTATTCAGGCAAACACATAAGACTTCATACTTACATACAGTAGCACATCTGACTTCAAAGTGCTATACAAACATTAACCTAATTAAGCCTCACAACGACCCTACAGGGTGGTAAATATTATTCCCATTTTACAGATGAGAGAAGGTAAGAAAAATCAACCGAGGTAACAGAGGGAGTTTGTGTCAGAGTCAAGATCAGCACACAGGAGTTCCTGGCTCCCAGTCCCGTGCTCAGAACTCAAGAATATTTTACAACAACTCAGAGCTGTTGTGTAATGTTGCTACATTTGCTTTCCCCTTTGTGGTTGATTAGCAAATGAAGCATGCACAAACAGAAAGCTTCCTCCTTTAGAATCAGGTTGGTCTTCCTTAGTCCTTGCACTTTCTTTCAATGAGGTCTCAGTACAATTCCCAACTTTTCTGGCCAGCTATCATGTGCACTGCAAAAGTGACTGCCCGACTCAGGGAATAGTAATTGGCTGGTAAAAAATAATGGTGGCAGAAGTAGTCTCCTCTTACCTCCAACACCTGGACTCTGCTCGAAAACCTCGTACGTTGTTATCTCCCCCAATCAAGTATACAAAGTTGTTGAAAACAGCGATTCCTTGGTTGGACATTCTGGGGGCTAATGCAGCAGTAAAGTGCCTCCACTCTCCCAATAGGGGGTTCAAGTACTTGGCTTGGTCGCTGAGGGCTGTGGATGGAGTAGAATGCATCCCTCCAAAGCCCACTACACAGTGGAACTCTGATCTCACCTGTGTCTGTGAGCTTTGAAGCATGGGCTGAAGACATTCATTCTTGTGGTACATTAGTGCATCGGCTACAGTCTCTCTTAATGGACATGGGCTTAATTTGTCATGGAGCCTTTGCAGGATCTGGAGCTCCATCAGGGGGAAGCGGACTGTTTCCAGTAGCTTAGGAGGCTCCATCAGTGAGACCTGATCTGTCTCTACCTGTTCTAGGGTGTAATGGTACAGAAGCGCCCCTTCATAAACCTCATTCTCACAGTTGACCTCCAAGAGGTTGCTGCTCAGTAGGGAGTAGACCTTCTCCAGGGGTAGCTGGCGGTATATCTCGGTCTTTGAGAAAGCTACAAAGTTCTTGAGAATGTAGGAGTCCAGCTGCTCACTCAACTGATTCAAGTCAAAGAGGTCCGCTAATTTGTATACATCCAGGATGTTCTCTTCATCCACCCAGGACATGAGAAAATCACAACAGAACTTAATGACTTCTGGAATCTACAAGAAACAAAGCAGATTTTTTTTTTACTGAAATAAACAAATCTTGTCTTACACTGGAGAGACCAGATTCATAAGAGTATGGAAGACCCAAGTTGAGGAAGTTGTAATAAATTGCAGGGAACACCTGTCACCAAGAAGGCTGACAGTGGTCTCTGGCTGTTATCAGTACTGGCTGGAAATAAAAACTGATAGATTAGTTGAGTACTGTTGACCATGGCTTTCACCAAAGATGACGTGAATATGATCCAATGTGGGTTTGTAGATGAACAGAATATAGTTCTTCTGTTTCCAGACAGATTAACCGGTATGCAAAAGGCACAACAGGATAGTAAACTGAGCTGTATCATTCAAATGCAGAAGAAACCTTTTGCAAGGAAATCTAATGTATTTTACATAGTTTACTGAGTACAGTATGACATTGCTTCTGGACACCAGGAGATAGCAGAAAAGTTCTTTGCTATACATGACGAACTTCTGTTGACTCCACAAAGGTTAATAAGAGTAAATGTCTAGTGAGTATGTAATCTAATACCACAGCATGTATAGTGTGGGAAATAAAAGAAGCAAAAACTGTCTTGATGGCAAAACAAGAGCCACTGTAATTGTAGCAACTGGGATCACAGTTCCATCCATAGTGGGTCTGTGAATCAGCCTTTATACTGCAGATGGGAGCCTGAGAGGCTGCAGCACCAATACAGTTTCAGAAGAAGGAAGTTAGGTCCTTTAATGTAGATCATAATGTAGGAACTCTTAACAGAATCTCCCTTGAGGAGTCTCTAAGCAGGTAAGGGGTTACTGAGCACATCAGGGAAGTCAACCACTATAAAAGAGTCACACACTGGATAAAATGGTGAAAAATTATAAATAAACACACAAAACTACTTATATAAACAACACATCCATCCAAACCCAGTTTATACACATCTCTAGCTATTTACAAAGCCCTGGCCTACACTACAAACTTACGTTGAATGTGGAAAATCCACATGCCTGAGCATCACACCTAACCTCCAGTGTAGACGGTGCTATGTTAACGGGAGGGCGGGTGGAGTAGCGTCTTCACTAAGTGCTGCAGCTGCACCACTGCAAGTGCAGACAAGCCCTTACTCCACAGTTTAGGGCACTCAGAAAAAAGTTTTAGTCAAATCCACATATATAGACAGAAAAGCCCCTGCCCTTTACTCCCCCTCTATTGTGTTTGTTCACCTCTTCAACCTCTCCCATTTATTCCCGAGTGTCCCCATTCCTTATTGGTCCCATTTTTCCCTGTGTCTTCTTGCTCCATCTCCCAATCCCTCACCTGAAGTTGGCAGGCAGCAGTTAGCGTTTCTTGCACATTGTTCAGGCTGAGTTCCAGTTCAGAGGTGTATATGAAGTTCAGGATTTTACACATAGCATTGAAGGAGACTCCATGAATACGAATCTCTTCCTGTTCCATCTCTCTTAGACCACCAGCAAACATTCCTCTGTAGAAAGAAAAAGGTACACGCTACACTGGAGATGTACCAAAGCTATGTACAGTTCAACCCAGCTTAGCCATATTGTTCTGGGGACATCCAAAATACTCAGTCAGATGGCTAACTGGACAGATAGCTTTGCAAAGCCTCCATGCCTTTTCCCAAATCCAGTACTCCAGGAAATATGCTGGGCTATACAGTTTTGGAACTGGAAACCCAGAACACAGCCTTTTCAGAATGCAGTAAAGAGACACCACCTAGCTGGCTCTGAAAATCCAGAAGGCATAGTTAAGCTTTGGTTAACCAGTGCTTATCTGTACACATATTCTCCCTGTGCATCCTTGCATTAGTTTAACCTTATAAATTGCTTCCCCATTAAGCACTGGGAGCCCCGTAAAACATAAAACCCTCATTGAAATAATTAAAATAAATAATTAAATACATTAAGTAAAAGCAAATAAGAAGGCATAAAGACTCCTGCATCCCCCACTGGGATCATTGTCTTTAAAGATTTTAGTGTTCATGTTATAAGCCCTTGTTTTTAAAGAAGTTTAAAATAGCCATTGAAGCGTGCTAGCCTAGCAACAGTGCTTTATTGCTACAAAGGACCCATTGATTCAGATGCTATTGTGTTCTCTTCCAGAAAGGGCTGGGGTGATAGAGAAGTGAATGCACTCAGTTCGAAGGTGAACAAGCCCATTAAATGTCTACATTGCAGGTCTGACAGACTCTGAAACATGTTTAAGCCCAATTCCCCCTACCATCCACACAAAGCCCTCAGGCATGTGTCTATATGAGGGAAGGGACAGCTCAGTGGTTTGAGCATTGGCCTGCTAAACCCAGGGTTGTGAGTTCAATCCTTGAGGGGGCCACTTAGGGATCTGGGGCAAAATCAGTACTTGGTCCTGCTAGTGAAGGCAGGGGACTGGACTCGTGACCTTTCGGGGTCCCTTCCAGTTCTATGAGATAGAACTATGTATATATATATATATATATATATATTCTCAGCACATGCGTTTTATGGCAAATACAGGTATAAGCTCTTGTTTCACTGTATCACACATCTCTGCCCTCCCTCTTTGTGACAAAGAGGCAGCTAAGGGTTCATGTGGGATAGCATTGATGGACTATCTCAATAATTCCTGGGGTGTGTGTGTTCTGGCTTAATTCCCAAGTTCCTACTCACCTCCCATGCACCATAAGCAACCCCAACTTCCAGAAATCAGAACATCAGAAATCTGTCAGTGCGGTGACTGTGTGGACAAGGCATGGGGCATTCATAAGCAAGCTTGAAAAGCACAGCTCCGCAGGCATGAATGGCTGGACACAGGTACACTACGCAGTGTAGACATACCCTTAGCTGCTAGGAAGGGAAAGGAGTGCTTCATGTCATTCAACTGCAACCTACCCCAAAGCAGTGTCGATGGGGTCCTAAGGAAGTCCCATGCAATCCTTGTCTAGAAAGATGATGGCTGTTACATCAGGCTTTGTGGGTTGAAGAAGTAGGAGTTGTTTGAAGTAGACAGAATCTTCAAGTGCACCATCAGGAATGCAAAGAAACCAATTTGCTCTAAACGTGCTCAGAGCTGAAATCTGGGAGTGTGTTTTGGATCAGTGTGATATTACTCCAAATGAGACTGGTTAAAAAGAATGGCTTGTCCCACTTTTGGGTGCCACTCACTAGAACTAATGTGGTTTTGGAACTGAAAAGTTGCGGGACATTAAATCTATGATGCGAGACGTGACTTTTCAGTTTTTAATTTTTAGCAACTAAGGGCTGCTGCAACTCCCCTTAAAATCAATAGAAAGACTCCCATTGACTACATCAGGAGTTGGATTGTCCCTCCCAAGTTACATCAACAGCACTTAGGACCATTACTTCCGACAACATGTTTTATAACTTGCTATGTATTATGAAATTACTGTAATGGGCCAAATCTTGTTGGTGCCAATAGAACTTCAACAGCTCTGTAGAATGCAGTGTCGTACTTCTAACGAATGGGGCACGTATAAAACAGGCACCACTATGTCCTCCAATTACTATGGGTTCTGAGTGAAATGGAGGCACCTGGAAGCAAAACTAAATGTGGAATAATGCGAGATTAGCTTTATTTTTAAAGTCATACAAAAGAAAAATGAACAGAGACAAATTAAATATTTTAAATGCATTCAACTCATCTTAAGGGTCTGATTTTAAATGCACAAGGATAAGGATACTCCAAGATATGGCTGAATTTCTATTTCTTTCATTCCTCCATAGGTAGGCCTCCAGACTGCAATGGGCAGGCATTAAAGTGTTGAGAATAAAGCATGGTATGCCACATAGTACAACTTGGGAAAGGACGGGGAATCCGAGGGGAAGAAAGATGGAAGTCCATCCACAATTCAGAATTTCTTTTCTTTTTCTTTTGCTGGTTTGAGTCATATTGAGAAAGATGTTGGTTACAGATTCACAGTGACACTGGACTCACCTGAAATAGTCACATGATGCAGCTAGAAGTATCCGATGAGCTTCGATAGGTTTCCCTTCCACTACCAGGACTACATCAAAAAGGATGCCACTATCTCGGAGAGCTACCAGGCCACTGAGTAAGGACTGGGAGTGCTCTGCACTGCGGTAAGTGTTGCTGGTGCACTGCTGGAGGGAGGGCTCCAGGGGAGTCTTGCATGGCTGAGTCAGCTCCTGATCCTCTGCCATCACAAGCAGAAATGCTCAGTACCTTACAGCCACCAGTTATAGCAAGATGAATTCTGTGAGACAACAAAAATAGCAAAAGTTTGTGTTTGCTGATTAACAGCATTTTAACTCTTATCACAGTCAGCAAAACACACCAACCCTTAAGTACAATGGAGAGACCTTAAAACGCGGTTTTACCCGAATGAGATTATTTTGGATTTACACCAAGAGCAGAGTTTGGTGCAAAATGTCGCTTTCATTTACCAAATTCCCAGCTGCACAGTGTTCTTAGATACCTTTGCTGTAACAGAAGCTGCAAATTGAGTCTCCATCTTTAGTTTACCAGGGTAAATCAAAGGGCTTGTTTTGTTGTATTTTTTCTTGTCTGCCTTTTTACATCAGCTGAGCACATTTCCACAAATGCCCCTTCTTGGCCCAAGGCTAAGTTCCCTACACGCACGGCTAATCAAGGAAAGGAAGGAACTAAGGCGATTGGAGACTATATACAACTTGGCTATGAATTTTCAGTGCTGTGAGAGCACGCTTTTGCTGTTGAAATTAGTAACCTTCTAGAAAAACAGTGCCAAAGTGGGTATATAAAGACAACTTTCAGGAAGAACTGAACTTCTAAACAATTCCCAGTCTCTAGAATCAGTGGAACATTTAAAAGGGAGAAATCTCCATGATACAATATTGTCTAAACTACATTACTCCCACAGCTCTACATTTTACCTATATAGTATTTACTGCAAAATTATGCTGAGAAACTTTGAAAGCTGCAAATTGGGATGTGCAGGGCTGTGGCAGGCGGAGAAGGAGGTGACTTTCGATGGCCCTCCTTCCCAGCCTCAGCTCTGTGGCTCGGGTGGCAAAGGAGAGAGCCCCCTCCATCCCAGCCCCAGCGGGGAAGAGAGGGCACATCCATCGCATTAGAAAGGTAAGACTACGGATATTCAAATATGAATTGTGTGCTTTTATTTGTAGAACAAAAAAAATTTAATTATTATTAAGGGTTTTTTTTTTATATAGCGCTATTATCCAAAGCGCTTTACAATAGGTAGTTAGGTAACGGTACAAACAACATTTGGAAAGATCATTAAGTGAGACCCGCAGCAATTTTCAAGTGGTCTGTGAAAAAAAAAGTTTCAGAACCACTGCTATAGATCATGGGAAAAATCTTGGCTCCACTGAAGTTAATGGCAAAACTCCCACTGAATTTACTAGTGTTTACCATCCCAGTCGCAAGGTACACAGTCCAGATAACGCAGGATAGCATAGTTAACAACCCTATTGCATGACTGCTTTGTCAGGACTTCGTGATGAAACTATAGTGGCCCTTGGGACTACTAGCTACATTAGTTTCGGAGCTAGAAACTCAAAATCAGAACAGCACATGGTCAGCAGTCTGGCTAAAGAATCTTCTTCGCATTTAGAACAATGGAATCCAGTCTCTGCTCTACCAATAGAGAGCACTACAGGCATCCGAAGAAGTGGGTTGTAGCCCACAAAACCTTATGCTCAAATAAACGTGTTAGTCTCTAAGGTGCCACAAGGACTCCTGTTCTGTTTGCGGATACAGACTAACCCAGCTGCTACTCTGAAACAGGTAGGACTGAGATTTGACTTTTCAATGAGATTCCCTTCTATATACTCTACAAAGAAAACAAACCACCACCTGTAGCAGTGGCTATCAAAGCCCCGGTCAACTGACTAGGGTGTGGGGCTTGCACTACATGGCCAAAGACAGCACCGTAGACATTCCCACCTGGGCTGGAGTCTGGGCTCCTAGCAGGTGTCAGAGTCCAGGTTCCAGCCCAAACTGTGGCTTTGCTTTTCATGGCACCTGAAGGACAACGTTGATTGCTCATTCACCTTTAACCTCTATGCCTTTATCCTAATTGTCGTAACGATACTTCTAAAGCTGTGGGAACAGCACTGCAGAAGACTTTATGTTTCCTGTGGTGAATTAAAAGCGTTCTCAGACTCACTAATGTCAATAATAGAAATGGCTTTCAGTGGTCATTTATTTGATCCTTGTTCCCACAGGCAAGACTAGAGCGAACCAGTACTGCTATTGGCTCCCATCAACGCTTTGAGCACGTCTCAACTCTAGAAAAATAAGCAGCTGTGTTACACGCCAGCAGAATGGAGCGGACAAGGAAATATCACAAGGACAGCTGCACACCAGTTATTCAGGTCTCGCTTCCTCACCACAAAACACACCCAGATGTCTCTCCGTGGCAGTCCCTTATCCAGCAAAGGGTGAGGAGGGCTGCAGGGTGAGTGGAGAAGCACCAGAAGACGTGGGGCGAAAATATCGGGGGGGGGGGGGAGGGAGATTCCGTGTACTGAACAGCAGGCTCGCGAGTCAGTTACTCCGGTGTCGGGGGGCAGCACACCGCGGTGGGGGCCCCGTGCAAGGGCGCTCTCGGGGGGGGGTCTCCCTATCGGTGGGGGCAGGGCAGCAGCTCAGTCAGGGGGTGCTAGTTGTCAGGAGTCCCCCACCCCCCACGGCGGGGGCCTTGGAGCCAGCCCCCCAGAGCAGTCACCCCCCCTCCCCGAATCCCGCCTGGAAACCCGGGGAGGGCAGAGGGCGCCCCCCCTGGACCCAGCCCTGCGGTCACCTACCGGCAGCGGCGCCCCCCGCCTCGCGACAGCCCCGCCGCCTTCTTCCAGGGTCATCTTCGCACAACCATAGAGTCAGGCCGGAGCGCCCTTCCCACGTGACTGAACAAGGGATACGCCCACAAGCCCTTCTTAAAGGGGCCCTCACCAATTGCCTCTCTCTGGCTGGCTGGGTTGTAGATCTGCCGGCTTGTAGATCTATCTGGACATCTCTCGTGTCTTTCGGATAGGCGTCTGGCACATTTGCTCTGGTTAATGCAGTGTCCCAGTTCCATCCAAAAAATGCACTTAATCCTAAAAGTGCTGCCAGTGCTAATAGATCAATGACCAGCAAAAGAGAGAAATGTGGATGACTTCTCCAAAATCAAGCAGTGTAACCGCACCTACATGCACCATAACCCACTTCTTTTCCTCCAGAAGAGATTTATTACCAGTAACTTATTTGTAAAGGGAGGAAAAGGGTACAGTGAGTCACAGAAATCTTCCTAGTACAAAACTATCAGTCCCTTGGCTCTGACAAACATTAACTTGCCAGCTGTATAATGTATTTTATCTTCCTGCTCTATATTTTTCAGAGTATTTTCACTATAAACATATTAGCATGCTGTTGTCCTCCATCCACAGCTTTCATAGCTTCTCCCTGTGTTCTACAAGTGACTAGGTCCACCACATTTTCACAGATGAATGATATGCGTGGCTACTTATTTCAGAAAATCCACCACTGTGCATTGATGTGCAATTATAGGAGAGGATTTATTGAGACTGAGATCATCTACATCGCTAAGGGCTTCTCTATATGGGAGGTTTACTACACACTAATTTTAGTTTGTGCGCATTGATTAAAATGACCTTGGTACACACAATGCAATTCTTAAAGCATACTAACTTGCCAGTTAATACATATCATAGAATTTACTTTGAAAGTTAATTAATTGCTTGTTTGTGTGAACATATTGTTTAATCATGCTAGCCTGGCACAGTGGTTCTCAACCTTTCCAGACTACTGTAACCCTTTTAGGAGTCTGATTTGTCTTGCGTACCCCCACGCTTCACCTCACTTAAAAACTACTTGCTTACAAAATCAGACATAAAAATACAAAAGTGTCACAACACACTATTACTGAAAAATTGCTTACTTTCTCATTTTGTCTGTATGAAATTTTAGTTTGTACTGACTTTGCTAGTGCTTTTTATGTAGGCTGTTGTAAAACAAGGCAAATATCTAGATGAGTTGATGTACCCCCTGGAAGTTCTCTGTATACCCCCAGGGATACACATACCTCTGGTTGAGAACCATTGGCTTGGCAGTCATCCAACTTGTATCCCACTGCCCACACTGCTTTCCATGACACCAGAATCTATCAACTCTGTATAGTCTTAATTATTGTAATCATCTCCTGTCTGACCTCCCATTTCTAGTCTGCTCAAAACGCTACTACTTATGTCCTTTGAACACTTTCATTATCTTCCTTCCTTTTACAGCATCATATCAAGTTAGGCACAACTCCCTTAGTCTCCTGTGAAAACCTCACCCCTTACCTATAATTCTATGATTCTAATTCTTTTTATCCTCATAAAAAGTCTATACTCATCACACTTTTCAGGATCGGTCCCTTAGTCTGAATGTAAGTAATTGCCACATAATTGAGAGATAAAACAGCTTAATAAGAAAGTAACATCAGTAGAACATGAGAGAAACCCCTTACCAAATGAGGGAAATGGTAGCTTGTGTATAGGGGTTTATAGTGCTAAGAAACTGGCACTTAGGAACATATAAGCACACAGCCTTGCTCTGCCCCTTCTCTCCCCCTGAGAAACCACAGCTGCTGCTGGACTAGAGCATCCCACCTACATGCCTGAATTGGGACACTACAGTGCTGCACTCAGCAGAGAGCGGAGTAATACTCACAGTCTCACAAAAGTGTGCTAACCAGTTTCACCTGTGTGGGTTTTTTTGCCTGCCTGATCACTTGTATTAATGTTTATCTCACTGTCTGAAATTTCTCAAGCCCTAGACACTACAGTGACTGGTCCTATCCACATGTGTCTTACTCCTAAATGTGCTGCTGTTGCTAAGTGAACAACCAGCAAAGTGAGAACAATTTGGTTGACATTTCCCTTATCAAATATGCTCCGAGGTGTGCCATGTCCCACTCTACTGCC